TTTACTTTTTTCAAATACAGGGTTTATCTACTTGTTTTCCCCCCGGGGGAAAAAACACTAACATAAGACTTTTTGGGGGAAATAATAACCCTTTGTTCATTTTGGGCGAGGGAAGGAAAAAAAATAGTGTGACCCCCGTTTGTTTTTTTTCAACGATTTTGGGGGGAAAAAAGCGAAGTTGGAGGCAGACTTCAGACGTCTAAAGAAGCCCTCGATGCTTTTTAAAATAAACGTTAAACTTAGCGTAGTCTATTTACAATGAGATGCTACCAACAATAAAAATAAGTGGCAGAGAAGCGAGATATAATGCTGGTAGCCCCCTTTAAAGGGACGTAATTTCCCCCCCCCCGTCTTTAATAACTGGTTCTTTTTTCCCTAAATCTACCTTCCCCCTAATTACTATCGCATTTGCTTTTTCTGTTTGAAGGGGAAGTCCAGGGTCGTTCCTTAATTTTGGTATATCTTAAAAAAAACTTGAGGCAGTTGTGTTGCAGAGGTCGACCTTTGCTAGATCTCGCAAAACATTGTCCTCAAAATTTTTTTAAAATTACAATGAATTAAAGGGAAAAACCGGACTTCACCCACAAAAAAAAGCAAATGCGATAGTAATTATGGACAAGGGGAATTTTGTGGGGAAAAAGAACATATTTTAGACCGGGGAATTTACGTCCTCTTAACTTTCTTGTTAATTTTGCCACAAAAGGGGGAATTTGTAGTACCAGGGAGGTCGCCTGTAGACGCGGAAGCTTTTTCCCTCAAAAGCTTTCCCGAGTCTTGTGCCCTGCGTGCTTTTGGGGTTTTTTCGTTTGCATCGTTCCAGGAGGGGCCGACTACCCCTATACTTCCTGCGGTCACGATCCGCCAAATCGCGGTCTTTAGGTCATGGCGATCTGTGCGGGCGTGGGGGTGTGGCGGGGCGTGTTGTCCCGGGAGTGTCTCGTCCCGACTTATGTCTGTGTCCATGTGTGGGGGGTTGCGGCGCTTCTCCGGGGGGTTTTTTACATGGCGGCCACGCGTTGCATCATTCCGAGCCATACGGAGACCCCCATGACCCATTGAGCGTGTGGACCTGAAGTCTGGTGGTAAAAGTCTCCGTGCGCCCCAGACGGGGGTGACTGACTTTCTCCAGGTCCCCCCCGCCCAAAGCCTCCTTCACGCAGGTTCCCAGGCCTTCTTTGTAGTACTTTTTGGGCCCTGACCCCTTAAGACGACGGCGTAGGAAGAAGCGTCCCGTCATCGTTCCGACGCAGTACTTCTGGTAGGTCCCTGCTGGTCCTGAGGAAGTGGGGTGTCAACAATCTCATAGGGGTCATATTAACTAGTAAGGGCTCATGACTAAACCCCTTTCAATTCACGGGGGCCTGTAAAGTTAAGTTAGTAGGTGTTAGTTGCTTTTACATGGGTTGGGTCGAGCTGGGCAGGTTTTACAGCATACAACACCCCATGTTTACTCTTACACGTCAGTAGCCTACTCCTGTACAAATTTTAAGCAGTTTCCGGCTGGACATACAACTTGCATTAATTTGTGAACTGTTAGTACAGGGACGGGGGGGCTTTTTGTAAAGTGTGACTTCAACAAGGGGCTTTACCGGTCTGCAGTCTGAGTAACAAGGAGGGCAGGGGGAAGCGCAAAATACTGTGAACACTAACACCACAATACCAAGCTTTGTTGAATGCTGTCCCGTGGCACCCGCCCCTAACATCAACACAGGTCCCGTGAAATTGCCATTTAAAAACCATCACCTGATATTATTTCGTCAAACCACACCACACATACAAAAAAAACGCACATACATCACTCTTCTTGTTCTATATACAAGGGGCAAAAGGTGTGGTGAATTTTATTAGAAATTGTATTTTTTTTGGGCAGAATTGAAGTGAAGACTTTGTAGAAAAAAAAAAGTGTTTGCAAACGATTCTTGTGTCAGGAAAACCAATGGAAAAAAGGGTTTTGAGATATATATATATACATTTCCTTTTGATTATCTAATCATATAATGACTGCAGTTAGTCGAGAATTTTTGTAAGAGATAAATCATAAGAACCCGGCAACTTATTTTGGGGAGGAAAAAATTTTAGTGGCTGCAGAAGCGCAACGCAGTGTAAAGCAGAAATATTACAATGGTGGATCAACAAGAGTCATAATGGATCAACAAGAGCCACGATAGATCAACAAGAACAATGCTACATAAAGCTGTAGAATGACATGTGATTAGGCAGAATAAATATAAGTTTTACACTGTGACTGTTGAATACAGTGCATGCTACAAGCGTTAACTACAGTGCTACTACAACTTGTACAGCAGCAGTAAAGAGAGGCGAGTCATGAGTCCAGTAGTAAAATTTTTGTAAAAATGACAATTCTTTCTATGTGTTTTAGAAAAGCCCGACCTTACACACATCTTAACCTATTAATAAATAATTAGTATTAGTAACCCGTGTTAATATTTACAAGTAAACTTCACGTATACACTTAAAATAAAAATTGTGATTTATTATGTAGGCAGTTTGTCTCAAAAAAAAAAAGGCAACTGTACAAGTTTTTTTTTAAAGGTCATTTACTGTTAAAAATTACCCCAAAAAGATGCATCGTTGAAATGTCAGACCTTTTATTTACTATTTATGTTACACAGGAACTAAAATAGTTAATCACGACAAAATTTTGAACTGCAATCAGGGAAAAGGACTCTGCTCGTTAATGGTAAGTAAAAAGAGTTAAAAAAACCCCGGTTTTTGATCGGCATCCATTGAAGGTTAGTAATGGGGTGAATGGTTTTTTTTTTGGCTTAAAAAAATTAAGAATAATTTTGGGGAAAAAAACAAATAATTTGAACCCTTCCCACTAACCAAATCAGTGGTTACTGAAGAGTCAGTTGTCAGAGAAGTGTCAGAGCTTCGTCCGTGAGAGTCTTCGTGGAGTCAAGTGTCATCGTTCACATCATGGCAAAATCTGTGCTGTATAGGGATACTTCAGGACAGCAGCCGATAGATGCGAGAAGAACAAAAATGCAGGATGTACAGAGAAGGAAGAACGTACACTGAGGCCCCGGAGGAGGAACGCCCTGCGGTAACACCACTGGGAGCGCAGGGGCATGCAGAAGAGTTTCAAGAGAACGTGGTGGCGCCGATGTAGAGGGTAGCGGCGGAAGTTGGCCTCTTGGGTGGGCGTACCTCGAGTCGTTGGGCGGTGCGTGGGCGTGCAGAGAGTAGGCTTTAGTGACTAGAATAATGATCAGCCCTGGGCGTAGCTCGCGAGAGCAACTCCCGTCTGCCCACCGTCACGTCAGGGAAGGGAAGAGCGAGCAGTGTGTACCAGCGGGATCCTGGGAGCGGTGTCGAAGTTCGCAGCTCTTTGTCGAGCGACGTCGACCCACTAAGAGAGCACTTGGATCAGCAGGGATGGGCGGAGGTGCAGGAGGGAAGGGGCCTCAGCCACCTGACACTCATATACTCATTTATACACTCCAAGCACTCGTGAAGGATCTGCACACTAACACTAACATACGAACGTGACAAACATGAAATAATTCTTACACCTAACTACAAAAACTACTCTGAACGAGTAACTAAGATGAAAAGATATGAACAAAAGCATACGTTGCCTATTGTGTGTAGGAAGCAATACATGTATACACAGCCACTCTTATCAGGCACCAACCAAAACAAAACAGGGCACCAAGGAATGACAGATATATCTTAAAAAAAAAATAGTCAAGGAAGATGAAATAAAAAAGATGGTGTTTGAGGAATGTGTGTGAGGATGGCAGTGACTGGGATGAGGAAGGAAGGTCGTAGCTGGGTCGTGCTAGCGGGACAGGAAAAGACTCGTTACCCTGAGGATCATCAGGGTTGTATATAAGTCGTCCTCATGAACTCAACTACCGAGCAGTTACACAAGACAGTTACGAATAAATGCATGCATATCTGAGACGTAATCGAGGGAGATGTGACTTATTAGTACCATTAACTTACACTGCATTGTTAATTGTTAATATATTAATAACAATAATAACTATGACAAGATACATCAACTATTAGATATGGAGAGAAGAAACCTTTGCAGCTGAGGCTTCCAGCTGTGGTGGCTGATACATGCAGCTGAGGCTAGTGCATGCAGCTGAGCTCACTGCTTACATATAGTAAGCTTGAGCGTGCAGTGAGCAGGTTAACATTAGAGGCAGAAAACATGCCCAAGCTTTAGTAAGCCCACTATTGTTGCTGCCAACTGCAATAGTTCCGCCCCCACTTTATTAGTGCTGACACTTGCTGGGAATAACAAGTGTAACTACGTCCTGCAGTTAATGAGAAGCGATCACCAGCTCCTTCTCAGCACTCAAACATTAATTGTTAGTATTGTAAATAAAATTACTGAACATGAAAGAAAAACTGGTAAAATAAATTGTATCTTTTCCGAGTTGTGGATATTTTGTGAAGATTTTTTGTGTTTAAAATGTGCACACACACACACACACACACACACGTTTTGTGTGTGTGTGTATGTTGATATATAATATATATATATATATATATATATATATATATATATATATATATATATATATATATATATATACATAATGTGTGTGCGTGTGCTCTGAAATGTTATGAAATAATGATATCATATGTAGTGAAGTTATTACATAATATTGTTATTGCCGTGTTATGTGAGGTTATCACGTGGAAGTTATCGTCTAGTTAAATTATGTTATAGACTGAAGTTATCATGTAGTGATGTTATTTAGTGATGTTACCTTAGTGTGTACACCTGAAGTGTGTATACTTGCCGTGTTAATGCCTGTAGTATGAATACCTGCTGTATGGTTGCCTGCTGGGTGTATGCCTGTCATGTGTATGTCTGCCATGTGTTTGCTGTGTGTTTGCCTGTCAGGTATACACCTGTAAGGGGTGTATGTGTGTGTGTGTCTACCGTATGGACACCTGCCGTGGGTACGCCTGGGGTGTGTGTACCTGGCGTGTATGGGTAGATGGGTAAAACTTACCTTCTGACCAGGATGACAATAGTGGTGATCACGGCAGCCAGGAACACGAAGCCACCGAAGACACCGAGAGCGATGATCCCTCCTGTGGATACACAAGACGCAGATTGAAAAAGATGTACACAGTATGATGTAACAGAATGAAGGAACCAGTGAAAGATGGTACATAGGGTGAGAGATGCTTGTAATGATATATCTTTTGCTGGCATAAGCAAAACTAATTACACTCTCGAGCGGGGTAAATCTTGTACATGGTAGATAAGATTTTCGGATTTTTAACTCCGGGGGGTTATTCATCAAGGGACTGTCTGTCATAAAGATACCCAAGAGTTGCACATGTGTCTAATTTATCGACTGTCTGTCATGTTTCCACTGGGATCCTCAAGCTTGACCGCCAGGATGCCACCCACACCAGTCGACTAACACCCAGGTAGTTGCTTGCTAGGTGAACGGGACAACAGGTGTAAGGAAACACGCACAGTGTTTTCACCCTTGTCGGGGATCGAACCACGGACACTCAGCGTGTGAAGCAAAAGCGTTACCTACCAGGCCACGGACCACCACGTTAAGGAAACCTGGTGGCAGCGTTGACTGGCAACGTGATAGTTACGTTACCGCTGACCTAACATTTTTTATCACTTCCGAGTGTTTTTTTTTTAGTACCGTTCATGCAGGTTTTAAGACCTATGTCATACTCGACACAGTTACACTTTACCCACCATATAACTCACATTTACTCACCACTTACGTTTTATATTCTCAGCTACCTGTCACCGAATACTTCCTCTGCTCGCTAAATCCTTTACTCACTACATCCTCCACAACTCACCAGCATTAATTTTAGTCAGTGACCCATTCTAGCTATCCAATGTATTTATTTACCATACTCATCCCGTTCACTATCTATCCACTCTCCACATCACTCACCCGACTCACCTGGATACTCTCTGACCCACCTTCTATATCCATCAACTTTCCATTGCACCTACCACAGTCACCCACACTCACCACACTCATCTACCACACTCACCCAGATGGAGTTTCTCTGTGACTTTGGCTCCACCTTCCTCCTTCAGGTCGTAGCTCGGTCCATCAATACTCTGACCTCTGTCGTCGTTGATGTTGTTGATCTTGTTGTCGTGGCCGGCCTCAAGCGAGGGCAGGACGGTGGCCAGGCTCGGGTTGTTGGCCTCCACGTAGTTGTCCTCCACTTCTGCGAGGTAGGGAGGCCTGGGACGCTGTTGGTTAGGTCTGCGAGGATGGTCTGGTCTCCTGGATCCCGGTCTGCGGCTTTCTGTTAGGTCCGGCTTAGTAGCTTCGTCCACTGTTTTTTCAGGGATGAGATTACTAACATTAGTGACTGAGTTTAAATTCCGTAATGCTCTTTGATTGACTCAACACTCCTTGAGCTGTATGACCCATTGGGACCTAAATCTTTAAACACATCTAACAGTAATAACTGAAATACAGGACTTGAGAAAGTTGTTAGGATGTTTCTGAATGTAATCCACGAATGACTTGACTACTAAAAGAGGAACCGTTATCAGCTGTGGCCGATAATGGTCGGAATTTATTAACTAAATGTGATATGCTTGTGAAGGCCAATAATAAATACACATACAAATAAAATTAAACAATTTTGCAATAAAATCTTAGTAAAGGTGAGATTTTGTAACAAAAAAATCCCAGAAAATGTCCTCAAATGTAAGTTAATATTTATAAAATGCTCATGAGGCATCGTATGAGGCGGCGTTATGAACACACCACGAGCTCAAAGAGAACCACTGAACACTAAATTCCTCAGCGTTCATACATTTTAGAGATGTTAATCAGGGAAGCGAAATAGAATCTTGATTTTACCCAACTAGACTTCCACAGATGTCAAGACGCATCTTACCTCTCGCATTGCTTAGGCATGGGTTAATTTACACGTAATAACTCCAGAAAATAGTAATACATGTTTGTTGACAACTCAAAGGGATTCGAACCCGTGGCCGGGAAGGTCTTGAACCATCAAGCTAATGTACTTAGCTACTAGGAACTGAAGCTTTACAAATATTTTTCCATCTAGGTATATTTATATACTAGAGACTATAATGAGGCACCACTTGGTAGTGTTAAAGCTGACTTTTACAGTGGTCGAATCAAACTCACATTCTCCCACGTAGTGATAAGCTTACACAAGTGGCTGAGATTTACATCCTTAAGTAAGAATAACACTCAGCATTACGTTATTTCCCATAATGATAACATTAACGCAGAAAGTATGTGAATCTGTTACATGTATACCCAAGAAACGAGACGTACCCCTCACACCCTAGAGGAACAACCTTACTGCTGTAACACACACATAATTTACACCGGTAACTGTAGTCGATGTTTAATATCCATGGTGAAATTCTCTTATTCAAGATGTGAGCAACATACCACTACCACCACCGATAGCAAATGTTAAGAACTTAGGTTAGGTTAGGTAAGGTTTGTGAGGAAAGACGACAAGTGTTTCCTGACGTGTGTCTTAGTTATAGCTGTCATCATTGTCAGGCGCCCTCTACAGTCTTCAACTGTGGTTAGTTATAATGGTATTAAAACGCATATTTTGCATGGCAGAGACAGCCAGAGTGGGCACCTTGTCACCCGTGGCTACTAAGATGTTACTGGTGGGGTTGCCTTTACCTTGGCAGCGAGGGGGCTCTTGATTGAAGGTGCCTGCAGAGGTGCAGGTGATGAGGCGAGGCCCCACCAACACGTAGTCGATGTCGCAGGAGTAGGCGACGGAGACACCGACGGTGACAGTAGGAGAGGAGAAGTTGGTGGAGCCGTGAAGGAGGGGAGGAGGAGCGTCACAGGTCACCGCTGTTGGATGACCCACACAACATTCAGACACAAGGAAGGAGGGTCAGAAAAAAAAGAGATTGTCTTTCAGAGTTATTAGAAAGTACAGAGTGATATGCAAGTTCGAGTCATGTTTGATGCTGCTGTGTGGTGGTACAGCGTGCAGCAAGACGTAGCCAACCTGCCCTCGCGTCCTCAACGATCAATGTCTAATTTTCAATTTTCTGCGCTTAGTACTTAAAATAAAATTACGTGGAGGTAAACAAAGCTAATCCTGTACGAGTACACGTATGTTAATACCGATAGATTACTGGAATACAACACAAATGTATAGTCAAGATACTGAAAAGACGCTGCGGTACTTGTGCCAATAAAACCACAAGTGACAAAACGTTTTCAATAAACATCTTGAGTGAGTATATGTGTCTTGTTCCCACAAAACCTAATCTTAAAAGAAAAATATTAAATGCTTCAGAAATTTATGAAGATCTTAAGAAACAAGAGGACGGGTGGAGGCTGCTGCTGCTGCCACTTACTGCAACATTCTCTGGTTAATGTGCTTGATCGATAATGCAAATGTTGCATATAGTATGAAATAATGTTTTGTGAGTCAGTTTTATAGTAAGAATGATTATTAATATTAAAAAAAAAACCACGAAGTAAAGATTGTCAAGTTAAGTCAAGTAACTTAGGTAAGAAAACGAAGATAAATATTTAGGTAAGTCATTGGAAGTAATGATTTATTTAGCATTATGAAGTGTTTATATATGTATATAGTGACTCTCATACACAGTGTGAAGGTTATACACACCAGAGGTGTATGTTCACGTGTTATATATATATTATATATATATATATATATATATATATATTTATATATATATATATATATATATATATATATATATATATATATATATATATATATACACCTCTCAATGCATATACCCTGAGAGACATACACCTCTCAGTGTATATACCCTGAGAGACATACACCTCTCAGTGTATATACCCTGAGAGACATACACCTCTCAGTGTATATACCCTGAGAGACATACACCTCTCAGTGTATATACCCTGAGAGACATAACCTCTCAGTGTATCATACCATGAGAGACATACACCTCTCAGTGCATATACCTGAGAGACATACACCTCTCAGTGTATATACCCTGAGAGACATACACCTCTCAGTGTATATACCCTGAGAGACATACACCTCTCAGTGCATATACCCTGAGAGACATACACCTCGGTTTCCTGAGTGACATACACTCAGTGTACACCCTGAGAGACATACACCTCTCAGTGTATATACCCTGAGAGACATACACCTCTCAGTGCATATACCCTGAGAGACATACACTCTCAGTGTATATTACCCTGAGAGACATCAACCTCTCAGTGATATACCTGAGAGACATACACCTCTCAGTGCATATACCCTGAGAGACATACACCTCTCAGTGTATATACCCTGAGAGACATACACCTCTCAGTGTATATACCCTGAGAGACATACACCTCTCAGTGTATATACCCTGAGAGACATAACACCTCTCAGTGTATATACCCTGAGAGACATACACCTCTCAGTGTATATACCCTGAGAGACATACACCTCTCAGTGCATATACCTGAGAGACATACACCTCTCAGTGCATATACCTGAGAGACATACACCTCTCAGTGTATTACCCTGAGAGACATACACCTCTCAGTGCATATACCCTGAGAGACATACACCTCTCAGTGCATATACCCTGAGAGACATACACCTCTCAGTGCATGTACCCCGAGAGACATACACCTCTCAGTGTATATACCCTGAGAGACATACACCACTCTGTGTATATACCCTGAGAGACATACACCTCTCAGTGTATATACCCTGAGAGACATACACCTCTCAGTGTATACCCTGAGAGACATACACCTCTCAGTGTATATACCCTGAGAGACATACACCACTCAGTGCATATACCCTGAGAGACATACACCTCTCAGTGCATATACCCTGAGAGACATACACCTCTCAGTGTATATACCCTGAGAGACATACACCTCTCAGTGTATATACCCTGAGAGACATACACCTCTCAGTGCATATACCCTGAGAGACATACACCTCTCAGTGCATATACCCTGAGAGACATAAACCTCTCAGTGTATATACCCTGAGAGACATAAACCTCTCAGTGCATATACCCTGAGAGACATACACCTCTCAGTGCATATACCCTGAGAGACATACACCTCTCAGTGTATATACCCTGAGAGACATACACCTCTCAGTGTATATACCCTGAGAGACATACACCTCTCAGTGTATATACCCTGAGAGACATACACCTCTCAGTGCATATACCCTGAGAGACATACACCTCTCAGTGTATATACCCTGAGAGACATACACCTCTCAGTGCATATACCCTGAGAGAATACACCTCTCAGTGCATATACCCTGAGAGACATACACCTCTCCTCTCATTACGAAATTATTGAGGTCTTGAGTGTTACTATCCTACGGATAACATTATGTTCAAAATTAAACGTCATCGAGACAATCGTGCAAAGCAATTATATTTTTACTAGATTTAAAATTAAGAAAGAAGACATTTAATTATATATATATAAATATATATATATTATTACTAGGAATATATATATATATATAGATAATATATATTATTATTATATATAATATATATATATATACTATATATATATACTGGAAGACTGACAGACGTGCAATACTAGAGAATAAAGGAGTCCAGATAGAGGATCTGCTAAAGGCTGAAAGAGAATATCACCTATCGTGTAGGGACTCGAACCACCGTCTCTTTCAATTATAGCCGAGTCGGTAACTCCGTGATAATTCTGGGAAAGAGCTGGCAGGAGGTAACTCGAGAGAGGCGGGGGATAAGAGGAGGAGATAACGAGTGGAGATGCCAGTAGCTGACCAACATTACTTTACTTCGCAGCTGGAGGAGGACCCTTCCATACGTTCATCTAGTCACAGATGAGTTGTCTACCGATGACACATAGCCTAGCCTTGCACTCATACCTGACGATGCTGAGGTAGTAGCGACTTCCCGTTAACAGCGTGTATGTACCGTTGGAGAGCCGGCGGTCCCACTCGAAGTCTGTTATGACAGGGCAAAGTGTAACTCCACGAGAATTATGCACAATACCGCGCTAGAGAATTTTCACCGTTAATCACATTAGGAGAGGAACCTTATATACGACGTTTTCGCTCGTCATGGAGTATTGTATATGACTTAACAATAGTCAGGAGGACCGAAACATCGTCAACAACTTTCTCCCCATAAATATAGGCTTTCGCTAATGTGACTCTACGTGGCAGAGAGACTTCTGCCAAAATGTAAACCCATTTTAAAAAAATATACAACTATTTAATGAATGGCCTTTCAGAAGCTGAAGGCAGCCTTTCCCCAAGTTTCTAGGTCACTCAACACCCCTGCCTTCGTTTTCTGCGACAATCTTATTCGTCACTTGACCAATGAACAAGAAAAAAAAAAATTCACACATTGATCCGTAAAACCGTTCATTAGAGATTCCACTAAAACTACTGTTATATATATATATATTAATATATAATATTTATATATAATATATATAATATATAATATTATTACTTAGATAACAAATCAAATTTTAAATAGCAACATTTCAAACTTTAGAATAAGTACTACTACTACTACTACTACTCTACTACAATTCACCTAATAATATAGGAAAATTATAAATTTATCAGGCCTGATTATTTTTTTTGTGTGATGATGATCGACAACCATGCACAACTTCCCTATAGGGTTGGGTAGGTGCCTGAGCCGAGCCTTTAGCTCATAAGACTGTCATTCCCATTAGCCCCATTGTGCGGGGATGGCAGAACAGAGAGCCTAGCTTGTGGCTTAGGCCTGGGGACGTTGGTCCAAAGAGGGAGGTACTTGTGCCTCTCCCTGGCAGAAATTAGGTCCTTGACACTTCACTAAAGAGAGCAAGGCCGGCCATCACTTGAAAAGCCGGTCCGACTAAAACCGGCTAATTTATATAATAATAATAATTATTGTGTGATATATCGAAAGTTTAAAGCAAGACAGAACCTACTTTGAAATCACCAATTAATACACAATATAAATAATCAACCTGGGGGATGTTGGCTTCGATGTGCTTAATTATACACAAGATTATTTAATTAACCTTATAGGTTACTGAAGTATCCTTAATGTTGGTGTACTAGAATTACTGCGGAAGATAGTTATTTAAGTGTATAGAAATCTGTAAAATGATCGTAATCGAAGATACAGCCTGACAAGTCAACTACATAGTTGAGAAATCGTTGAAGAAGCCGATTGATTTGGGATATATCGGCTAGAGCAGAACCCATAACCTCAGATATCACCTGGCGGGGTCACAGCGGTACTCTACAACATGTTTGTCTTGCCTCCACGTATTGTAGTTCGCATCCACCATGGGGTGGGAGTTGGGCGGCCCTGCTCAGCGGACTCCATTACCGCCATCGTCGGCTTCGCACGTCTGCGGACCTGAGGAGTAAAAGCAAGATCTTGTCAAAGGAAAGTGTCCAGTTGCTGAAATCAGAGTTTGCTTCCCCAGTACCGTGACTTTCCAACAGCCTCCCATCAAGGTTGATGGACTGATTACACCATCTTCATCTCGCTACTACCCCTGCTGCTTCTGTATTTGACTGAAGAAGTCCTATTGTGTAGGCTGTGTAGCCTATTTCATAGCCTTCTTCAACATAGCCTCCCATCATAAGTAAGGCGGATCGCCAACACACCTTTGGCTGTCTTCAAGAGGAAACTCAATAAACTCACACTGATTCATGATTATCTGGGCTGCGGTTCGTACGTTGGACTGCTTGTGACCGGCAGTAACATCGTTCTTCATCAGGCCTTTATTCACCGGGAGGCCCGGTCTGGGACCTAGCCACAGGGGCGTTGACCCCGGAAACCTTCTCAAGGTAGGTGGATATGGAAGAAGGGAAGAAGATTTAATCAGAAGGTGTGTAAAGACGGGAAAATAAGAGCACTAGGGAAGGGGGAAGTACGGGAGAGCATCAAGGCAGCACTTGTGAGGCTGAGGATTTAGGTGCAATAAAAGAGTGATGGAGGTAACAGAATAGTGATGGAGGGAACAGAAAGGTGGAGACAACAGGAGGATAATGAAGGCAACAGAAGGGTCATGGAGGCAATAGAGAAGTAAAAGAGGCGATAGAAGGGCGTTTGAGACGATATCAGAGTGGAGACAACAGAAGGATGATGGAGACAACAAAATGATGATGGAGACAACAGAAGGATGTTGGAGACAGTAGAAGAGTAATGGAGACAACACAAGGATAATGGAGACAGCAGAAGGATGATGGAGACAACAGAAGGATGATGGAGACAACAGAAGGATGATGGAGACAACAGAAGAGCAGAGGCGGCAACAGAATAATGGAAATAAGAAAACGCCTGGAACAGTTGCGTTTATGACTTTTTTTTACATATAAAAGCGTAAATAATTCCATTTTTTTTTGTGTTCCAGTGTTCCATGGTTTTCCACCTTAAAAAAAACAGTTTAATTATTACACTATTTTTAAAGTATTTTGCAAAAGTTAATTTGAGAACAAAATTTACAGTATAGTGGCTGGAACAATTAACAACTAATTCACAATACCCTGAATGGAACAATTCACAACAAACCCACAATACCCTGACTGGAACAATTCACAACAAACCCACAATACCCTGACTGAAACAATTCGTAAACACTCCGGACTGGACCATTATCAAATCCAGGATGGATGGAAACGTCATTTACTGCTTCCTCTAAAAAAATAATATCCGCGTTAACTACCCAGGTTGGCACAACTCACGGTGTTGGCAGATGAAGTTCAGGTCGAAGTTGCAGTTGGTGTCAGACCAGAGCCACCCTTTAGTGCCATCGAACCTGGCACAATTCTCGTTGCCCCCTGGTAGGTTCCAAAAGGACACTGTGACGTCCCGCCCGTTGATCCATTTCCAGTTGTTGATGTCTTCAGGGTCCCTGACCGCGCCCATCCAGTACTGACCGTTCGGGTCTCCCCTGTGATGGTGAGAGACAAATGCAGTGGTTAAGTAGGTCTCTGATAATAATAATAATAATAATAATAATAATAATAATAATAATAATAATAATAATAATAATAATAATAATAATAAGACGAAGAAGAAGAAGAAGAAGAAGAAGAAGAAGAAGAATTTCTACAAGTATATGATACAACTTATACAGACCATAGTTGACATCAGTGTCATACTATACAGAAAACCGCTGGTTATACAGAGCATTTCGGGCAAATTAGGTTAATTTTGTCCCCAGGATGCGACCCTTGGGATAACACCCAGGTACATATTTACTTCTAAGTGAAAAGTGACAGAAGGTGACTTTAGGAAACACGCCCTCGGACCTTACTGTGTGAGTCTTTGTCTGACTTTTTTGTATAATAACCTACATTCATTACCAGTCAGGGATACTTTAATATCAAAAATCAAGAGTAAGGAATACTCATTGTATATACCCTGTGAAACTTACAGGGTATATACCCTACCCATCAAGGTAGGATGACCCAAACAAGATAAAAACATCTACCATTACTCGTTCCCTAGCTGCCTTTCCAAATTTTTACTGGTAATTACAAACTTCCTAATAATTAAAAAAAAAAGAAGATTTATGATAGACAATAATCTTGAATAATACAATATTATATTTCTTTATCTCTTAAGAAAAAAAGAAATTTATATTTTGCAACAAACATCACCTTTCTTTTTTCTTACTCTTGAAATATAACGATTGAAAAACGACTTGAAGTAAGACTTTTATTAATCTAATAATGTCGTACAATGTCAATAAATACGAAAAAAAGCATTTTACACGACTGATTTTGGCCTTAACAGCTGTTATATTTTTCGATCAGTTTATTTGGGACATCACATTTGAGGCTGGATTGGTAAATTTCTGGACGGTCGGCAAGAATGATAATGGAGAACTCTGCAGTATTTTATACTGGAAACTCCAACGTAGTAGTGAAGCGGAGCCGAGTGTACCTTTATGACTATGCTTGTGTGACTCGGTTAACATAGATATCAAGTGTAGTATTGTGATTTGTTGTGATGTGTGAACTGTGTGGCGAGACCACGTCCAATGTAGACACAATTTACTTCCATGTTTGCGTGTGTTTGTGTTTGTGTTTGTGTGTGTGTGTATGTGTGTGTGTGTGTGTGTGTGTGTGTATGTATGTGTGTGTGTGTAGTTTCAAGACGAGACAGTGTTTATGCACGTGGTGTCCCGTATTTAATGTTTAATCTAACATTCTTTCGGACATAGTTCTGTTGTCTTACCTCTCGATGTGTGCGTATTTGTATTGAGTCGACGTCCGTTTAACAGTTAGCTTTGTAGGTGAATGTGTGCACGTGTGTTTTCGATACTGGATGCTTGCACGATCCGTCGCTTGTGTGTTTGTTTTAGGGTCACCATTGTGATGGTTCTCAGCTGTGATCCGACTCTATCTTTGTGGTGGTAACTATTCCGTACGGTACACAAATAACCCGTACGGGATTGCGTTTGCCTAATCGTATTTACATTTGTATGTCTTAACCTCGGCTTTAGTACTCCGTTGTGCCTACGAGTACATCTCTGACGTGTGTTTGTGTCTGCGTCCACTATTTCGTTAGGGAAAACTAAAGCGTATTTCTGATCCCCAACTTTGCGTTTCATTTGACTTGTGCGTACATCTTTGACGAAGAAAAGACACAGGTTACAGAAGATGTTTTTATTGGGACGATTTTTCACTTTGTTGACAAGTTTACCAAGTCCTCATCACTTGATGAGTCTCTCCATAAAGCTTGTTCTCTTAACGTGAGCCTATTCTTCACTATTGATGGCATTACGCCATCAAGCGTCCTCTTTGCATCTGCTGACGATCTTACTTGAATTTACGTTTGTGCCTTTACTGATGCTCTAACCTGTGTTCATATTTATACCTGTGTTGTCGAGCTCACCTGTGTTTACATCTATACCTGTGTTGTCGATCTCACCTGTGCTTACGCCAGAGCTCCCAGCTGAGGAAACCTTGGAGGGCCGGGTTAGTCTCATCCACCAGAGAGCCGCCTCGACTTCGACAGAACTCCAGAGCATTGTCGAAATTTCGGGGCTGTTGGTTGTAGAAGATATAGCACTTGCCGTTGTAGGTGGCGGTACTGCCCGGAGGCTGGTCGCGGAAAGACGGACACCTTTCAATAGGCAGCGCCTGAAGGAGGGAATAAGGGAGGCTGTCAAACGCAGTCCACATGATACATTTTCTCAGCAAGAAATGTAATGTATTGGGTAACTTAATAGGGATCGTATGTGTAAATATTTTGTTCAGCAGAATGATGCTGGTGTATTCTTCGATGGGCAGGAGAGGTGAAAGAAAGAACAGAGGAGGTTAATAGGTTTAAATAAATTGACAAATAGGTATAAACAATCTACACTATACCTGATTTGTGTAAGCATCCCACACTGTACCTGATTTGTATAAGCATCCCACACTATACCTGATTTGTGTAAGCATCCCACACTATACCTGATTTGTGTAAGCATCCCACACTATACCTGATTTGTGTAAGCATCCCACACTATACTTGATTTGTGTAAATATTTACACAGACCAGGTATAGTGTGAAATATTTACACCCCCCAACCACGATTAACAGACGAGAGGTTCGAACCTCCACCACTCCTTTAAGAAGTACAGTACAGTGTACCTGGTCTGTGTAAACGAAAGCTTCACAAATGGAGAGCTGGGCGCCAGGGGGAGCCTCGAAGTGGACACTGACGAAGGCCCCTGGCATGGGCGGGTTGCAGGGCAGGAAGAGCGGTCGCCCTTCCTCCAGGAGACCCACGAACCGGTTGCAGATGGGGTTGACGGCCAGGTCGGGCCGGTTGTTGCCCACCCTCACCACGATGGTTGCTGGCTGGTCACCTGTGCACCGAGGAATGAAAGATCAAGACATGGTCTGAAAAACTGGAAGGACTCGTCAGGTCTCTTTCTTAGAAAAGAATAATGAGTAGGTAAAGGCTTATGGTTGTTGTTGTTGTTATTTATAGGGTCACTGACAGTATACGCCGTATCGAATCCTAAAAAGGCTTCTGATTGAAGGGGCAAATATGAGAGACAATTGAGACCCCTCTGGAAGAAATGTAAGGGATACTGACTGCTTAATATATTTATCCACAATATGTTAGGTACAAGGACACATGTTCAACTAATGCGACATTTTACTGTGGCAACGTTTCGCTCTTCAGGAGCTTTGACAAGTAGTTACTGCTTGGAGAGCGAAACGTTGCCACAATAATATACCACATTAGATGCAAGTGTCCTTTTTACCTAACATACGAAGATAGTGACAGCCAGCAAGCTGACGTCAAGGGGAAACAACAAGTATGACCGGTGTTTCGCCCAAGACTGATCTTTATGAAGTCCGATGAAGCTCAGTCTTGAGACAAAAAGTCTAAAATAAAACATTCCTCTTAATTGCTATGAGACTTACAGCAACTCAAAAAACTAACTCGCATGCAACACTTGGGCATCATTATTGCCAGCGACAAACATACCCCAGGTTTCGCCTGGGGTTTGTTTCCTGCTGGCAATAATGATGCTTCAAGACTTAAGAAGACCCTCTTGGCGAAACGTTTCCTGTAATAAATGTCCTGACTATATAAGTGTCTCTTCCGCATCTCGGTATCACCTATGCCATTTTTTCACCCTGTCGGTATTGCGTACCATTGCGGTACCGATTACTATTGCTTACCATTGCGGTTCCCTGCGGTACCGATTACTATTGCATACAATTGCTGTACCCTGCGGAACAGTTTACCATTGCGGTACCCAGCGGTACCGCTTACCATTGCTGTACCCTGTCATTATGTACCATTACTAACAACATGACAACCCCGTGGGACTCACCACAGCAGGACTGTCCGAAGTCGAGTCTGACCAACTGCACCATATATGGCTCCAGCAAGTTGACATACCACCAGGGCTGTCGTTCTCGGGTGGTCAGAGTGCAGGTGTCACTACTGAAGGTGTTGGAACTGGAGCCATCCACGGCCTTCTGCGGGATGCCTCCCTCGGCCACTGAAGACTGCATAGGCGCCTTCCCCGCCGCCACGTTGAGCACTGTGGAAGTGACAGAAGGTGTGAGAGGGAGAGAGAGGCGACTCAGAAGTCTTGCTTGTGGCTGTGACAGTACAGGATCTGCGTTGCTGTGAGTGAACGGAGGACCGATACTTTGTTGCTTCTAGTGATGCTTCTTGTGTTCAGTAACTTGAATAATTTTTGTGATAATAATATTATTAATAATAATAATAATAATAAATAATTATAATAAATAACAATAATAATAATATAGTAAATAACAATAATGATAATTTAAATATAATAGTAAAGTATAATTAATAATATTATTTTATTATTATTGTTATTATTATTAAACAGTTTATCAGTCTAAACAAGTTGATATAAAGCGCTAAACTCGTAGGGCTGTATAACACCTTGAGGATAGGAGGTAATCAGTAGTGGATGGCAAATGTGGTTTCTCGCAGCGACGCCCCTTCAACTAACATTATATATATATATATATATATATATATATATATATATATATATATATATATATATATATATATATATTATATATATAATATTTATATATATTATATATATATATATATATATATATATATATATATATATATATATATATATGCAAAACAACCACTCTGAAAGAAATTCCAAGCGCTTTCGTGAATACTCACATTATCAAGTTCCTTGATAATGTGAGTAGTCACGAAAGCGCTTGGAATTTCTTTCAGAGTGGTTGTTTTGCATATTTTGAAATCACCTGTTTTTGTGATCTTATTGCATATATATATATATATATATATATATATATATATATATATATATTATATATATATATATATATATATATATATATATATATATATATCGACGTGATTCCTCGATATTTTTCACAAGTGGGTTGAACCTCTTCCATTAGGAGGCGGGTCACTGTGTAGCTGCGGGAACACCCACATCACATCTTTCTCCTGACGAAGAAAACACCTCCAAGAGCACGGTAACCACCTGCCTGGTCCAGCTGAATCATCTTGCTACTCCGGACAGAGGAGCGAGACTCAGGATTTGTTCCCCAGGTAATTCAAGAGAATATATGTATTTATAATCACGCGGGCTATAAACAACAGCTGCTTCGTGAAACAACAGCCTCCGTTATAAACAATAGCGTAACAGTTAGTCACATGTCAGCTATGACTTTAGAATTCAAGCTCTGGGACACTTTTCTTTCTACTCTAGGGGATGCATTACATGTGTGAAACGACATTTGCCTTTTTTCTTGACCCTTTTTCATATTCTTTTAAGAGCAGAGAATCTGGTCATGTTTTCAAAACTCAGGTACAAAGCACATCTCTTGTCCAGACTTGATGATCCTGATGATTACACTGTCACACGCAAACGTAAACTTTACTAGCATTTCTAGTATTGTTTCCTTGTTGTTGTTGCATTTATGGCTGGGAGTATCAGAGCTTGTGAATGTCCGAAAAGAATAGCAGCTCAAGAATAAGAAAATCACTAATTATTATTCTTCTTCTTCATTATTATTATTGTTATTATCAAGCTTGATCGACTTCCATTTTCCAGGGGCTTTATAACTATAACGGATTTACCGTTTTCCCCTTGAACACCGTAACCCGTAATTCGACTAACAAAAATCCTTCTCAGATTAAGTTGAGACGCAGTTGTCAACAAAGCACCAAGGTTCTTCCGTGTCCTTGCATGTCCAGCGCATCCATTTCCCAGTTTCCACCAAAAAAGATGTGGTCAGGAAGGATAAAAAAACACGACAGCATAACGAATGCTAGCGGGTGTTCTGGTGAAGGTCAAAGCCATTACTGGCTGGGAAGCAGAGATGTAACCGGGGGAGTTTCACACATTATTTGTAGTTATTTAGATGCTGAATCTGTAGCTTAGGGCGCTGTGTTGTGGCCTGTCGGTCTGCCAGCTTGTCTGACGGTCAGTGTGTCTGCTTGTCTGTCCGTTACTCTACCTGGCTGTCTGTCCGTCTGCCTGCGTGTATGTAGCAAGAAGGCTACATATACGCAGGAGATCATTTCGAATTCATTCACTTTGAATAACACCTTTAATGAAGACGTTTCGGTCCTTGGACCTTGATCACTTCCCTCCCTCTGTATTGAAAGTGATTAAGGTCAAGGACCGAAAGGTCTTCAATAAAGGTGTCTTAGGTGAATGAATTTATATCCATTGCCCTCAAGACTGCGTACCTGACTGTTTTTCTGCCCAGGGAATTATCTGACTCTCTTCTTTGTAGTGGTAGTACCTGTCTGTCTTCCTACCCAGGGCAGTACCTGCCTGTCTTCCTGCTAGTGGCAATACCTGCCTGTCTGACTGCCCAGGGCAGTACCTGCCTGTCGCCTGCCCAGGGCAGTACCTGCCTGTCGCCTGCCCAGGACAGTACTTCCCTATCTTCCTACTCACGGCAGTATTTAACTGTCTCAACGTTTCAATATAACTCCTCATTCTCCTTTTAATAAATATTTTGCATAGCTGTCAGCTGTAAGTGCGTCTGTCAGTCTTTTTCTGTTAAGAAGTGTGTTAAGACACGGCTGTCTGTCTCTGTTTAAAAAAGAGTGTTTTGAAAGATGTCTGTGTGTGTCTGCGATGATGTGTGGGTGTATGTGTACACCTGGATACACGTATGGTTGACTACACATGTGTGTTGATCTTTGCAGGCTGTGTGTACTCACCGAGCTGTGCTTTACGGGGGTCAAGTTTCGGTTCCTGCCCGGGCTTCTTAACCTATAATTCCTTGGTTCTTCTCAAGAATAAAAGGCTCAATACCGTGACTGAAACAATACACAAATAACCCGTTTCTGTCTACCTTGAACTATTAGCTAGTCACAGAAGCAATCCCCTTCTCGTATATATGTATACTGGCTCCCTTCCCTTCGCGCTTCTGTGTGACTAGTTGATGGTTTAAGTCGGACCGAAACATCGTTATAAATTTCACTCTCCTACGTGTGGGTTATCTGTACTGTTATTTGTTAATTATGTGCGAGTTATATGTTCCTTATCATATTCACTTCTTGATCTGTGAGTGGATTTCGTGTTTGTGTACGTGAGTGTTGATGCTGCCTCATCTCTTCCCTGCCAGTCGTTTTCCTTCGGTGAATGATTATCGATTGTTTTAGCACGATTATATGTCTACATTCTTCTACCTTTCTGATTATCATCTTTCCTTGGTCTCTCTCTCTCTCTCTCTCTCTCTCTCTCTCTCTCTCTCTCTCTCTCTCTCTCTCTCTCTCTCTCTCTCTCTCTCTCTCTCTCTCTCTCTCTCTCTCTCTCTCTCTCTCTCTCTCTCTGCCTATATCTTCCTTGCTTTCTCTCCCTGCGTCACTACGCACACCGACAGCACTAGAGACTAGAGCCACCCTTAGCCTACTCACAATATTACTCGCAGCACTGTTGATATTCACGCCAGAGGAAGCATAGAGAGCAGGGCGGAGCAAGAGTGTATGAGAGCATGCAAGAGCTACACGTGAACCAAGAGTTAGCAAGTAAACAAAAAATTTCGTGTGCTTTCTCGCATGTCTGCGGGAAAGCACACAAAGTCAAGCTTGACGAAGCGTTTACCTACGATAAATGCCCTGAAGTGTACACAAGTGCCCTTTCCCACAGTTTCTAGCAGATCTGCTGAAGTGGGGGGGGGGGAGAAGAGAGCTCTGGCTCCTGGTCGCCATGGGTGACGGGTGTTGAAAATGGTATATAATAGCGACAAGTTGAAGAGTAAGACACAAGTGCCGCAGTTGGGTATCCTTATTGAAGAAAAGTTTTGCCTACACGAAAGACTTCTTCTGTCAATTAGAGAGTATTTGGTACCAGGTCTCTTGGGCGGAAGAGGACGATGAATCATTGTGGTTGTTGGGGGACCATCACCTGAGACGGTCAACCATGAAGGCTCATCATCTGAAGAGTGAGAAGACTCATTATCTGAGGAGTGAGTAGACTTATCCTCTGAGGAGTGAGTAGATTCATTATCTGAGGAGTGAGTAGATTTATCATCTGGGGAGTGAGTGGACTCATTATCTGAGGAGTGAGTAGGCTCATTATCTGAGGAGTGAGTAGAATCATTATCTGAGGAGTGAGGAGACTCATCCTCGAGGAGTAGACTCATGCACTGAGGAGTGAGTAGATTCATTATCTGAGGAGTGAGTAGATTCCTCATTTGAGGAGTGAGTAGACTCCTCATCTGAGGAGTGAGTAGACTCCTCACCTGAGTAGTGAGTAGACTCCTCACCTGAGTAGTGAGTAGACCCATCCTCTGAGGAGTGAGTAGACTCAGCCTTAGAGGAGTGAGTAGACGTCCTCTGAGGAGGGGAGAAGAGCAGCTGAGTAGACTCCTCACCTGAGGAGTGAGTAGGCTCATCCTCTGAGGAGTATGACTCATGTCTCACAGTGTAGGTGAAGGATCAGTAATCATGAGATAACAACAGCTATTTTGCTCTGGAGTCACTACCACTGACTCAGGATTCTAGGAAACAGTTAATGGTGTCCTCTTCCACTGATAGTCGAGTCTCAGCTCCTGGCCCCCCTCGAAGCTGCTTACTAACAGCTTCACTTGTTGCCTGACCAACTGGCTCAGTCGTACCCATCCTCGAACCTGTGCAGTGGTTCTGCTGAGGTTTTACTATGGTTTTACTGGTTTTTACTTTGGTTTTACTGATTTTACTTTGGGTTTGACTGAAACTCTTTGACTGAGATTTTCAAGTGGTTTTCGAAGGAGGTTTTCCTACGGTTCTCGACGAGGTTTAACTCCGGTTTTGACTGAGGTTTTACTATGGTTCTTCAGAGAGGTTTTACTCCGGTTTTTGACTGGGGTTTTATTACGGTTTTTAACTGAGGTTTCATTTCGGTTTTTACAGAGGTTTTACTACTATTTAAACTGAGTTTCACTATAAGTTTTTACTGGAGTTTTACTCACGTTTAAAAATAAGGTTCAAGTGCGGTTTTTACTGTGGTTTTATTACGGTTTTTATTTAAAGACAGCAAGAAAATAATTCCTCTACGTAGAAGGAAGTAAAGAAGGAAAAATGTAGTGAGGGAGGC